AATTTTTTTATTGAAATGTTAAAAAGAAAAGAACCTACTTAAAGTATACTTATCAAGAAAGTGATTATGAACCAACTTACTAGTCAGAAGAATCTCCAAAAAAAGTTATTTTCAGGTGAACGTTTTAAATGAATCCTTACTTTGTAGTAGACTACAGTGTAAATGTCGCTAAGTGATATCATGATATCTAATACGTTTTTAATTCATTGACCTCTCATGACAATAAAATACTTTACAAAATAAAAGATGCCTATAAAAGAATCAAAGTCGCCTTAAATTTGATATTGATAAACAAAGTTTCATCTTGTTCTAATTTGAAATCTTTTCCCACACAAGACTGTCTAACAATAGAAAGATCATTGATTCAGTTTCGTAAGCATACTATTCGAATCTACATGCAATCTGTACATGTGCGTATTTCTGATGCCTAGACTGATGCATTCTGATGAGATCACAGATACCACATTTGTAAACAAATAGTTTTTTATCACATAAAAGCGCAAGTAATATCTAATAAATTATTTACTAACAATATTCGTACATCTATACATTTGAGCTTCCAGTCATGTAATAACACAGCCAACCCAATAGTTAATTGTTAAATTCTTAACTTCCCGTGGTCCAAAACGCGACAACTAATTAGGCCATAATTTGGAGCTAATAACAATCATTAATAATGTGTAATTTACTAACTTTTTGATTCGTGGTAGATAGGTGTGTTCCAGTTGTTCTAATGTTTTGAGAGCTGGATAGTATCTATACATTAATGGAAAACTTATTAATAATGTCAGCCATATTAATACTGCATGTAAAAGCTCCATAGTTCCCCTTATTACCATCAATAATGAATTATATAGTCTATGCCATGGAAATTAATAAATATTATCAAATAATAAAGTACTGATTGTGGCATCAGCAAATCTAAATGAATATTAGTTACCGTATTTACCCATGTATAAGCCGCTCCCGTAGATAAGCCGCACCCCGAGTTTTAGGAACATTTTTTAGGAAAAAAAGACGGAAAATAAACTTTTCTCTTTTTGATCGCCACTTGCAAAAACAGCTTTCTTTGATTTTAAAGTGCTTTTCTGCTTCTCGATTTCCGTGATCCCTGCATTTCGTATGCAATTACAATATGTTTATTTAACATGCGGTGTATGATGAATTTGATCTTGGAGACATAATTGTAAAGATTGATAATTGATACTTTAAAGAGTTGTTTTTCATTCAAAAGGTAAAAGCAAACTAGTAATTAACTTGAGTGATATAAATCTCATTGTGCCKCCAAACTTCTAAGCATAAGGATATGCCGAAACCGTTTCGTATTTCAAAAAAAATATTAAAACAGATTGTATTTGTTTAATATAAGGAACAATTTCTTAGGCTTATTTCTTGGGTATTCAAAATATACCCTGGATTCTTCACTTTAAGTGTGACAAAGTCGCTTAAATGATCAATGCAACTAGACGCTCTTGGAGCGTGAAGTCGGACTAGCTGTTGAAAGACAGTGATTTAATATATATTTACTCGTCAGAAGTAAATATTCCAAGTCAGAAGTTTGCCTTCGGGTCTCCCGATCGCCCTCTGATCTCTATATGAAATATGACACTACCAACTCGGCTTTAAACAATCATATCATAGAACAGTGAACTGCTCGGGAGGTTACTGTAGCTTTTATAGTAATTCTTTGATATTCGAGTTTTTTTTTTATTCCAAAACATTCATCTGTGTAATAGCATATATTATGACATTGGTTTAGGTCATAAAGGTTGATGTATTGTGACAAATAGTGCAGTTTCCTCGAGATGTAAACCGATACTTCATAGCTGAGTGAATTCCGCAACGTGGCTATCTGATTCTGAGTTGCATAGCCTAAATTCTCAATTTGATTAGGGATTCTGTCTCTTCTGGATTAAGAAAACAATGTTAATATTCACGCAGGAGTATTTCTAGATGAAGATTGAAGCAATCATGGTTTTATAGAGCGGGATAACCTTCTTGTTGAGATCGTTGCCGGCCACAGCGCCAACTATCGCCGGCACTTCGCAAACCGTCTGCTTTTCACGATATTGTGGTTTAATACGTAACCTTTAAATTACTTCAATTAGAATAAGTCTATCCATATTTTTACTTTGTTTCACATGAAAGACTAWCAGAGTGAACGATTTTAGTCACGTCTGCATTCCTTGCGTGATTTTACCGTGTAGATCTAGTTCCTTCAAAAGCTGCTAAATATTGCATGAAAAGTAATCAACAAGGAGAATTTTTAAAAGTTCACAAATTTTACTCTTAATATATGTGATCTCAAATTACTTYGTGATTTATTTACATGATTGGGCGTATAGACGAACACTGAAGTGAAAAGTTTTAACCGAATATAGCCGGCACTTTTCAACACCTTTAGGGCACGAGTACACCCTGCTGTCAGTGTCTAGTTCTTATTTTTTTMCAAAATAGCCGAACTCATTGTCTAATAAGAGCGTCTAGTTCAAAACATGCAAAATTTCTTGACCTAAAAGGTCATGTAATTAACACCGATAGAACATTTTAAAAGAGGTCTTGCTTTGACTGATAAAATAAAACTCAGCAGACAACGTGTCGCTAAGTGATATCACGTTGACCTCCCAGGCCAAAAAAAAATACTTACCAAAGTAAAAGATGCCTATTAAATCGCCTTTTTGTTATTGATAAACAAAGTTTCTTCTTGTTCTAATTTGAAATCTTTGCCCACACAAGACTGTCTAACGCTAGAGAGTTTCGTAAGCATACTACTCGAAGCTCCATGCGATCTGCACATGCGCATACTATTGATGCCTAGACAGATGCATTCCGATGAGATCACAGATACCACATTTGTAAACCAATAGTATTTTTATCACATAAAAGCGCAAGTAGCATTTACATTTAGTAACAATATTCGTACATCTATACATTTGAGCTTCCGGTTATGTAATAACACAGCCAACCCAATAGTTCATTATTAAATTCTTAACTTCCGGTSRTCCAAACGCGACATAATACATAGATAGATAGATGGATTCGCTGAAAGGTAAAACTCAAGTCGACCTAGCCTTCGTCTAGTCCGACTAATTAGCATCGCGTTACCAAAACAACTCCAAGACAAAACGATTGAAAATGYTCTCTGTGCATTTTAGCTCAATTACCACGCACTTTTTAGTTTGATTTATTGACTTGTTTGATTTATTGACTCAGAGCTAGATTTTCGGAGACATCAGGACAGGACATCAGTACATCAGGACAGGACATCAGTAATTTGTTTTACATGGCGGGAACAGAAATTTTAATCCAAACTTCTCAGTATTACTATAAATTCTCAGAAAATCTAGCTCTGAGAAACATAAATCAATAAATCAAACTGAAAAGTGCGTAGTTATTGAGCTAAAATGCACAGACTGAGGGCATTTTCAATTGTTTTGTCTTGGAGATGTTTTGGTAACGCGATGCTAATTTGCATTGTTCATTTAAGCGACTTGTCACACTTAAAGTGAAGAATCCAGGTTTTAAATATTTTAAATACCCAAGAAAAAAGCCTAAGAAACTGTACCTTATATTAAACAAATACAATCTGCTTTAATATTACGAAACGGTATCGGCATGATCCTTATGTTTAGAAGTTTGGCGGCACAATGAGATTTATATCACTCAAGTTAATTACTAGTTTGCTTTTACCTTTTGAATGAAAAACAACTCTTTAAAGCATCAATTATCAATCTTAATCAATTATCAATTATGTCTCCAAGATCAAATTCATCATACACCGCATGTTAAATAAACAGATTGTAATTGCATACGAAATGCATAGATCACGGAAAGGCACTTTAAAATCAAAGAAAGCTGTGTTCGCAAGTGGCGATCAAAAAGAGAGAGTTTATTTTCTGTCTTTTTTTTCCCTCAAAGACATTCCTAAAACTCGGGGTGCTTCTTATCTACGAGAGCGGCTTATACATGGGTAAATAGGGCATTTTCTTGTATCAGCAATCACAATTAACATACCTTCTATTACTCATTTGATCACTTAACTTTGCATGCATATCCAGCACTGTCAATGAAACAGATATTCAAGATTAATATTCATGTTCATTGATAKCAATGGCTAATAATAATAAAATAATAATAATATATTTAACGAGGAAGCCTTATCACCAAAGGTGATTTTCATAAGGGCCCTTGATAGCCCTTGATACAATGTAGCTATCTGGTAGTCAGACGATAAGACTTCTAATTTCATGTCATTATATAAAACCACATAAAGTAAGACATTAAGTACATCTACCTGGTAGACAGACACTGAGGGCTTCAATGGCTGATGCAATGTTTCTTTGTATTGTACGACACTTTATAAGCTCTTCACATCTGTCAACAAGCTATGACAATATGAATTACTCAATATTTGTATGGAGGGAGATATTGCAGTCATACAGTACAGTATACATGTACAATTATACAGTTATTAACATTAAGTATCGACAGAAACAGCTCAAACAATACCAGACAGAATGGAGCAAAATTAATTAGGTAAGTAATTACATTTTTCACATTCCCTTCCCTTTCTTTCTTTATACTTTTTCTTTTCTTTTTTTTTGGCAAGAAATTTAACACTTAACTTACTTTTATATAAATATTAATATAAATATTAYAAAGTAATTGCACTTGATGCTATTCTGAAGGGCAAGTTTATAAATTTCTAATTAAGTTTAGGTAAGTACTGATGCAATGTTTGATTTTTTTAGTTGCTCATCCTTTTGATYAAAACACCTCATGCATTTTTTTAAATAATGTTTTTCATTGTATCTAAATAATTCTGAATTTTACCTGATATTTTTTTGATTTATCTAGATCTTTTACAAYGACTTGTCAACCCCATATCAAATATGTACTACAAGAATTCTTCAAAGCTGAATGTTCTCACTGTCACAAAGTTCGTATATTAGAGAACTCTTGGGAATTGAAAGTGAGCATYATTACCAAACTATTATATTGATACAAAGAAATAGATTGAGTAAGAGTAATATGCCTCCTTTTCAACAACGTCGCCCTGACAAGATGAATATTACTTCAAGGTCTTGTATCAAGGTCTTGGAGCTGAACATCATACTAAAAACCCATTTYAATGAAGCAYACAAATCTCTTATTCAGTGAAACTCATTCACAAAACGTGAAGATAAACTGTCTTCGATATTCAGAAAGAATTGAAGTAAGACTTAACTTGAGCTGAGAACACGAGGGACGCATAATCCTAAAGAACTCAACAACAACCCACGTTGAGAAGTACCTGTTCAAAGAACTAGTTGCAAAGAAGTACGTTCAAAGATATTTGTGCAAAGAAATACGTGCAAAKATATACGTTCAAAGAAATGCATGCAAAAAAATACTTGCAAAGAAATACGTTCAAAGAAATACATACAAAGAAATATGTACAACAGGGACTTCGTGCTACTCCTCAAAGTCCTTGAAAAGTCCTGGAATTGAAAAATCGTTTTCAAAGGCRCTTGAAAGCCCTTGAAAATTGTGAAAATCACTGAAACTCCTGGAAACTCCTTGAATCTGATAAAATTGACATGTTGATTATTAGCTTTTGGTTTGAAATCTTGCTATTTTAAATTTTTAATCACCACTTGAAACGTCCTCAAACATCTAAAAATATCTTAAAAAATACTCCTTGAAAATTGCATTTTGATGCTTAAAAAGTACTTGAAAAGTCCTGGAATTTTGTAGTGAAAATGTTGCACGAACCCTGGTGCAAAGAAATACGTGATAAGAAATAGGTGCCAAGAAATACRTTCATGGCGACGCTTGGAGTCTTTTAAAAAGGAGACGGGACTGATAAGTATTAATATAACTAGTAATTAATATTAATTAGTATAACTCTGACTCATACAACTGTATCGTTTCAACAAGCGGCTGTGAAGGAAAACAATTTATTTCAGTTCAACATTCAATGTATCGTTTCCACAAGCGGCTGTAAATGAAAAAACACTAATTTAGTTATTCATCAATTAATTCTGTATCGCTTCTTCAAGCACCTGTAATTTCTTTAACTTATAGTACTAATTAGTACTTCACATTGCTTCGAATTTTCTTAGTAATAACCTTAGCATTTAGTTTATTTAGTATATAGATTTTCATGTAAAATTTAGTATTTATTATCTAGTAAAATTCAGTAATAAAGTGTTTCCAAAAGAGAAGGGTGTGGTGGATTTGGGGCAGGGGGTACATAGGACCCACCAGTCCTATGTATATAATAAAAACTAAAACTGTAATCATTGGACAAATTGGATAAATTCCTATTTTTTACCCGCATACTGTAGGATGCATTCACTTAATTAAAGCATGGATAATACTTTTAGTTATTTTGACTCTCATATTTCATTTTGCGAATAATATGAAGGAAAGACTTYAAATTGCACTCTGTCGTATGTTCTATTCTAAATCTCTATGTTCCTATTAAATCTCTAAATGTCTGAGTCACATGCAGTCCTTGACTGCGTATTTTTCCTATAAGCCTGAGTTTTCTTCCCACACTAGGCTAACAACATTATGCCATTACGCAAAAAAAGTTATATTAGGCATAAAAGTTAACACCGAATACTAAATCTTAGCAAAAATTTTTCCAACTACTGCATGCGCATACGCAATAGCATTACATGAAATTAAAACAATAATCATGACCTTGTAAAATCATACCAAACCTCCTCTGGACCTTCCGTGTCAATTATTTTATGCAGAAAAAGTTTTAAGTTACGTTATAAAATCCGTTCGTTAACGTACCTCAGTTCCAGACTTCTTCAAAACTTCATTGCCTTCTTGAACCTTTATCTATCAAAAAGTGGTAATAAGTTGAATCATAGTTAACTATGGTTGAATTGAAGACGTCAAATGAGACGATATTTGCCTACCTTGAGTTTCCTTGCTTCACCGCGTACTTTGAGGAGTTCATTCACCGATTCAATGAACCCTTGATAATGATAATTACACATTCGTTCTATGTCTTTATCATGAACCTTAATCCTATCCTCYAGCTTTTCCATAAACTCCTTTTGATATTCTCCATCATACACCGCTCTAGAGTAAGGAGAAACAATTGTTCAATACTTCCTGGATGTTTTCTAATGGCATGCATAATGAGTGACAGAAGAGAGTTCAGCTTCATACAGCAATGAATTGTACAAACCTTAACGTTGGTCCAAGCAGCCCGTCACTCGATTCTACTTCTGCCAAAAGGTGTTCAATGTGTGAACTACCCACTGACGAGTCTGTGGCCATATTCAAAAACAAGAAGTCAAGATTCAGGTAACTCTATCCATCTTGACATCCCACAACATCCGCCATCTTGGATCATGACTGTTCTTATTGCGCATGCGTCAGTTTCAAGCACAGAAAGCCCTAAGTGGGTTACTACTTCATGGTGGAATTGCCACGGAGTGCCACGTCGATCTCTGCCGCAAACGTTATTCTTAATGAAAAAATGTCAAGATGACTGCGAGAAGGGAGTGCAAGGAAGTCGGAAGGGTACAACTATCGAATACCCCGCCACACAAACTCTCACTTGTAGCCGCGGCTACGGCTACGGGTCAGATACACAGGGATACCGAAATATGTATTTAAACAACAATAATCTTGGAMATTCTAATAGTACTATTTTTATGATACAGGAATTAATAAAGTAGGTTGAAATGTAAGCAAATACTAACAGTTTCAGTTTTAGTATTATCAACCATATCATAATAGGCCATAATACTTCAGTCAACAGCGCTTTCGCTTGCTGTTTTCAACGCAATCCAACCTGGACGATTCTTTTACGAGTGACTTTACAGGGACCGCGGAGGGGGGCTGGGGGGCTACAGCCCCCCCAATAATATTTCCGAATTTTGAATTTTCTTAAATAAAAGAAGCGAAGAGCCTCCTTATGAATTCTTTGGGATTYTATTRATAATATTGCTGACCGTGTCTGCGGTAAATATGTCTTGGATAACGCCTCAAAACGCTGGAAATGGCATTTCCGAGAGTAATAATTTAAGATTTCAGAAATTTCCGACTCCACTAGTACCTCCTCGCCGCTAGCCCCCCCCCCAAACAAGATCCCGCTCCGCGGTCCCTGCTTTATACATATTTTATTTTAGTACAATTCTTTTTAAARTGACCTCCAATATTAACTTTGAGGCGCATACAACTAAGCGAAAGCGTTCTTAGATAACTTTTACATGTATAGTCAAATAACAATACACTGCTCTCGATCATTAACACACAATARCTTCACAGATATTATACTTTACAACACCAATAATTTATTCAAACTTACACCTTCGCGATCAGTGATCAATTGTTACAAGAACAATACAGATCAGGCTTTGTTTCTTCTTCATAAAACATCGCAAAAGCGCAAACATTTACTTAACGCTTAAAACATACATTTTGCTCAACGATTCAATTTGAACAAGCGAACATCCCTCCCTCATGAATAGCATAATA